CTTTTCTTTATAATTTGTATTTTCAATTTTCTTTTTCATTTCTAACTTTTAACTTTGTAGTCTTAAAATTTCAATAAAATACTATAAATAAAAAAAGGGGGTGGGGTTCCAATCAGCCACTATCTTGACTTTATGACCTCCTCTGCAGATCACCCTGGATTGGGCCAAGAGAGAAAGTAACTATTCCCAAAGCCTCCCAGTTAGCTCAGTGGTTGAATGAGGTGTTCATACTTTGGTCTCTCTGATCCAAGTCCAACATATGAACTTGCTACACTATTCTAAAATTCTCATTTTTAATTGAATTCCCAGCTTCAGCTCTGTCACAAGCAGGGCTTAACAACTCAGGGATCAAATCTCTTCTCAAAATACCACTCACTCTCTGTTGTTTGGACATTGGCTCTTCCCCTCTTTGCTTCTCATGTCAGAGTAGGCAAAGCCAACTTGGTTTCTGAACTGGCCTGAAGACTCCATGAGATACATTCAGCAGGAGCCCGTTTATTTCCTTTGAAGCAGCTGTTTCAGTTGGAATCTCTAAACAACTTCAAAACTTCCCACTGGGTTGTCAATGTTTTTTGGTAGTTGTTTATGTGGAAGAACTTTAACCCCTTGCAGTCACACTGACTGGGGTAATGTCTGTTTCAAATCTGGCTGCAGTTCTCAGATTTTGGTTCACCAATTTGAAAGTAGGGCTCAAATCTCTGACATTTAATGGGTAGAGCTTAGGAGTTCAAGGGTGGGGCCTAATGAAGGGGTGGGGCTTGCAGTCACCTGATAACCTCCTTTTGATGCTGAATTACTTCTCTTAAATGCAGTAATCACATTTTACAAGGTGACTAGCTGGACAATGAGAAGCTGTTGAGGAGTTTCTAGATTTCTACCTAGAGGATATTCATTAGGTTTACAATCAACCTTTTATCCAAGGCCTCAAGTTGGCATAATAGCAGCCACAAAAACCATATTTGTGAGGTAGATGGTAACTGGGCCCACAGATCTATAGATTAGTCACATAATCTGTCATTAGCAAACTTCTCCCTAGAACTAGATGGCTGTTGAAGGAAACAAGAATGTCCCAATAACTTAATGATGCCAACATATGAGTTTTGTGCATCCATTGGACACAGCACAAAGTTACACCAGTGGAAGATACTCAAAGCTGTTTTGATCCATCTTGACAAATGCATTAAGGCAAATAACCTACAAGTTGTGATCAAACATGGATAGAGCTGAGGGTACCCCTTGCAGTTTCCTTTCTTCTGCTTCTCTGTCCATCCACCCTATCTTTAAAAAGTGCATTTTCAACATGCCCCATGAAGCATTTGCTTACAGAATTCATCATTTCAAGAAGTTTGAAAAAAGTAAGACAAATCCATACAGGAAATGTACTTCATTATATTCATAGTTAAATGAAACCTTCATGTTTGACACCAAATGCTGGAAACATCCCATAACATGTTGTGCTTATGGATAAATTTCTGCAATGGAAGACAAGTGTCCAGCTAGAAGGATCTCTGGTGTAATGTAGGATAGGATTGTTCTTATCCTTTTGACCCAAACTTAGTCTTTCACAACTTCTTCCATAACTTAAGAGTTGAAGGAGCATTATCATACATTAAAGCCTACAGCCTTTGACCATCAAGCAATGCCTGGCTCACTTCTACAAAATCCCAACAATCTCTCCAGCAGATAGCAAATAGTATTTCTTACTTGGTTTTCTATATCTTGAGAAGCCCATAAGTATTGTTTTTGAGTAATAGAGGACATGGGTGACTATGAAGGGCAAGCAACATGATTCAATCTATATAACTCACTCTACTTGTGCAACCGTGTTATGATGTATATGACACTATTATGGCTTCTGCCACATACCAGTGATGGGGAAGATCGATATACTATATAGTTCTGATTACTTACTGGTTATCTGCATGGTTACATGGCTCCCACTCCCAGTGTATGGAAGGAAGAGGCCATCCACTTGCTGTGCAGTGAAGGCTATACTCTCTTCCTTTGGTGACCAGCTCAGTACTGGTAAAGTCAGTCTCCTTTTCATAAATGTGGGGTCTCTCTGAAGATGAAGAAAATAAAACTGTTAGGATGGCTTTCTCAAGAAAGAAGTAATAGCATACCTAAGGACTGAGATCTTTAAGAACTATGCAGTCTCTACAGAGAGGTTTGTTGTAACATGTGGGAATATGGCAAAAGCAGCTGAGAACCTGGCTGTCCCATAAGGAGCAATGCTGCTTAGAGACTAGTATCCGGGATTAATCCCAACCGATGAACTTGACCTAAAGCCTTGCACATTCTAGATCATAGGATGGTCTTTTCCACGTAAGAGCTTTGATCCATCGAGTTCAGTATTTTTTTCCTCCATGTGGGCACAACCTGCATCTCCCCTCTGCCAAATTTAAGGACTGATTGCAGCCCTCTTTTCAGATGCCACTGATTTGGAATAAACTCCTCCTCCTCCTCTTCATCATAGATTTAATATAGCCACCCATCCCCGGGGACTCTCACTGGCTTACAAAATATAATACTAAATTAAAACAATTAAAGACAAAAACAAGACAGCTCAGACTAAACAACCATTGAAACAAAGCATGACACCCCCTCCTCCCCAAACAATGCAAATGCAAAACAGTGTTGGCCCTCCAGATGAATTAAATTACAAACATAGATGCGCAGATCAGAATAGACCTGGTTCGTACTAAAATTTGCTCAGTGTGTCTTTGGGTGTATTACAGATTCCGTTACATACAGAGTTGCAAAAAAAAAAAAAAAATCAGCATTCATTTTTTGTGATTTGCATACTCTTTCCTCAAATCTGTGCTGTATTAACATAAGTGCCTCGAAAGCCTTTTTGGAATGTTCCTGCAGGGTCATTCTTTTTAATGTAAACTTTCCCGCCACACGCCTTTTTCTTTTCTTTTATTAAAAGAACCCATAATAACCTCTTTAGCGTGCCATTGTCAAAAATATACATCCTATCTTTTATTTTATTATATACATTCTCATTTATTTTTAGATTCTATTATATTCATTGTTTTCTTGTTATATATCTACATGTATGTAACAGTCCTACTGCTGGATATTTTACTGAATGTCCACAGTAGGACTGTAATAAACTGATTGGATTGGATCTGATACATCCTGTGGGAATGCTTCTCTCACAATCAGGGTTGGGGTAGATTTCCCTAGGAGCCTGGCGTAAAGTAAGTAAACCTACAAGCAACTTACGTATACACTGTTATCACAAATAACAGTGATAGTCAGGTTTCAAAACATGTATTAGATCTGGCAGCCAGTTGGCTTGGTGGATCCACAGTCACAAGGGAATCTGGGATGCGCGCGTGTCAAAAAAGTCCAGATGGAAGCCAAACCATGTGATCACAGTCCCACCCCTTTCTAACATATGCTGCTGGCCAGGACTCACATTGTTGTGGCCACCATCAGCTTCCTATGTCAGTAACTTTGCCTAGCTGTGATTCCATGAGCGTATGTATGAATAAGCCAGCTCAGGATCTTCCATCCATTCCGGTGACTCTAAACAAACTCAGAATGATTGTATTCTCCAGTGGGGGCCGTGGCTCATTCAACTATATGCTCGTTATTCTTTGACATCAGTTCTTTTGCAGATGCTAGTAATAAGGAAAAGGATGAATTCTGCTGAACATTTTTGAGACTGTTTCAAGTGAGGATCAAGAATGCCCGCTGCTCAGTGAAGGAACACATACTTTGGACACAGAAAATGCAACTTGGAGCATCCTTGCTTAAAAGGTCGTGGAGGAAGGACATGTAAGGCCCTCGAGATCCCCTGCAGGAGTTTGATTTCGAATGAGGCCATTTCTGTGCTCTGATATCTCCACTTCCTTAGCCGGTCCAGAGGGACGCAAAGGCTTTCGTCAAGATAATCGCATTCCAATTGCTTAGTGCTGTGAGCTTAAGAGCAGTGATTAAACCTATCTAGCAAGCAGATAGAATCTTTCTATCTTCTATTTGGTGGCAGGAATGAACAGATGAATGCTTGCATTCTCTGATTGTAATATGCATTTTTCCACTTAGCACTTAATTAAAATAATGGCTTATAGGAGGTGCAGATGCACTTTTCATTACCCAATTAATTTTTTTAAAGTACATTGCATTATTAAATATTATGTGAAACCTGAAATCAGACATAATGAATCAGGGAATAAAGTAATCACTGCTGGAGAAACAAAAAGAGCAATTATTTACTTTAAACTGGAAAGATAAAGCCATTGAATGCACTGTTTTCTTTAAACACACACACACATTTGCACACATACCAGTACAACTGCATGATCATGGAGGAAGTTATAAAGACAGTGTAAGAACTCGTGATGAAAGCAAGGGCTTTGGGTCAGGAAAATAAAGTTCTGTTTGGTTGATTGTTATTGAGAACAGATTGTGGGCAATAAATCTGCAATAACAAGTTACTATGGCAACCAAGTTTTCTAGCAGCTTAAGGTCCAGCGTGGAATTAAATGGTCCACTTGTAGCTGGCACAAAAAGGAACATTTTCAAAGTTTTCCGGCCTTTGCATATTTTAATACAAAAAATATGAAGTGACACTATTTGGGATAGCTCAACCATATGTTTAAGACAGAATTCTGCTGCTTCCTCCTATGTGCTCCTTCAAACATAGTTGTTCACCCGTGCCACGCACTCACCAACCCATCAGCTGGCTATCCTACAACATAGTTCTTATGTCCATTTCACTCCCCTGAGGGTGTCCCAACAGCCTTCAGCACAATGAAAAAGCTATTTTGCATGAAAAGTCAGAAGGACAATTCACTGTCCTTCTAGACGCAACTCCCAAAGTTGTTGCTTTCTTCTGTTTAATGGTCCTGAATGAAACAGATCATCATCTTTCCTTCCTTGCACCCAGTAAAGCCAATAAAGACAGAGCACGGTGGGAAAACTCAAGTGTAGAGATCATAATATTTTACTTCTCAATTCAGCCTTTCCCAATGGAAGGTCCTTTGCATACATTCCCAGTCAACGCACTTGTGAATGTGGGGATTTTGCTGTCCCAACATATCTGACACCCATTTGAAGAAGTTGGCTTAGATGTTTACCAGGATGAGGAGCAGAGAGTGAGTTGCTTGGTTTCTCACACCTCATGAGACATCCACCTCTACCCTAAGTCAATGCTTTCGACGCACTCAAAGCTTTTGCTCTCTCACTTAGCTAGGTCTCCTCCACCTAGAACTACAAATGTGTAGATTGGTGTAAATGTGATCTGTGTTACTGAGCACATTTCCATTCCAGCAGATTTATATCTGAAATGTTCTAAAAGAGTAACCTAAATTTTCCAGCTCATTGAGAGGAAAAGGAAAACTCTTATATTTTAGAAGATGCACCACATATTGAGATTCTTGGATTCCTCTTCCTTTTCATAGGAAATATGCCCTAGGTGGGGCTATCAGGAGAGTCTGTCTCTTATCTGCCCTAATTCCTGGACTGACCATGGGATGGTATACGGTCAGATGGTCATTCCAAGAAATGCTGCAAAGAAACATTAGCCTCTTCTGAGAGTCTTCTCCTCCTCCAACAATTTTGCTGTAGGAAGACAAAAAAGAAGGCCAACAGCTTCACTCCACCTGCCACTCAACAAATAGTCAGCTTTCTATCTGAAAAGCGCCAGCCCGCTTTTGCTGTTGGGTCTGCAGAGTGTCTGACCATAATGCAGAACATGGACACTGGAATTTTAGTGTTTGACGAGAGGAGAATGAGGACAGGCAGTACTATGGAAGGGCCAAGGCCCCGTTTCAAACTTTTCTCTCTGAATCAGCTATGAACTATAGAATAGAAAAAGTGGATGATGGTCAGTTGTCCTCGTGGGACTTTCAAGTGTGAGTTAATGCTTCCCACAAGAGTAGGAATCCAAAGGGTTAGGGACGGAGATTGCTATCTTGATCTACTTTGGGAGAATTTGCATAAGCAGCTTTTTGTTGTTGTCTTTCTTAGCATTTGTCCCACACTGTTGCAGGATCCACTTGTTTTGCACTATGCTTAGCTAATTCTTTCAGCAAAACTCATGGATGCATGATGTGACAAGGAGTTTTGTTTTTCAGCCAGCTCATCGCACAGCCTGATGCTGATTTGGGCTGAACGGGAGTGACTGGTCCAAGGTCACCCGGCTGCTTTCTAGGTCTAAGAGAGGCCCAGATCCTGGATCTCCCTGCTCCTAATCCAGTCCCTTAACCACTACACCACACTAGCTATCTGCAAAGCATCTTCCAATCATCAGAAGTTTGATCTGGAGGCTTTAAGAAGTGTAAGAAGTGGAACAGAATGTCTCTTTTGTCCATTGTCCCTTTTCAACCTGCACGTTTTCCTGGGATTTTGCCTGATTTTGCCAGGCAGAGAAGCTCTTCCCTATTTCTAACTCTTCTCATTCCCTTCAATGAAGAGAATTTGCTCTTGAAAATTCTTCTAAAGTATCTTTCAAAGGAGGAGAGGGTTTCTCTTCTCATAACAAATTTATGCAAAATTTAGAAAAACTGTTTCTGCCCTGCTCTGAGTCAGATCCGCAGGTGACCTACACTGAACTGTACAGTTTTTCTCTTTTCTTTCCACCTCATTGGCTTTGTACATAGAAAAAAAGGAAACTGGGTTTTTAAGCAGCTTCTTTTCTGTATGAACACGTGGCAACAACCTATGCCAAAATCTATATATAACTTGAGTCGCACTTGAAATTATGCATCTCATGATGAATTTAATAAGACAAGAACTGCAAAACAAAGTTGTTTTTAGAAAAATAAAAGCTTCTGTCTCTCACACACAAACAGTCCTGTCTAATTGGTAGGAACTGGAACTTACTAAAATGACACCCTTGTAAAAAACTAATGAGAGATGAACTGGCAGGGAAGCTTCTGTTGACACCAGAGTAATACATTGCTACAAATAACCTGCTTTGTTTATAGATGCACAAATTTAATTGCTGTGAATTCTCACAAAGCCATTCAGTTCCACCCCAGGTCCTGAATTCCGAGCTAGTAGAGCAAATTTCAGAGTCACTTGATGAAATTCTGTTGACAGGTTCAA